TTTTTGTTAATTGTGATCGCCACAATAGACCCAACCGGCAAAGATGTAGGATGATTAAAAGTGAGCATGTTTTTTGTCGCGGAGGACCATTTTACGGAGGATGGCGTGACAGTCACGGTATAACCGGATGGGTAGTGAACCTCTTCGTTCAAATATACCACAGATTCGGTTGCGTGACACGTTTCAGATACTTCATAAACTAAAACAAATTCTTTCGAGGTCAAATCAAATCTGAATTTAACAGTATATCCTGCGACGGCCTGGGGATAAGTACGAGTTGTGTTTTGAACATAAATTTGATCGAGTCCTGTCCCATTCCACAAAGCAGAGCGCCTGTTTCCTTTCAGGTTAGGACGGGAGGGGTGGTACGCTTTATACTCCCACCCAATCCACGACTGAAGGTACATATCAGCAGCGTCCATGGTTTTAAACATAGGCTCAATCTCTCCTGCACTGGTCAGAAACTCCGTCATCATTCCTCCGCATTTTAACCTCTCTAGATCTTTTTTCCGCGCCCCGAAATTTTCGATCAGGGCTAGAGAAGGGGGGATGTAGTAATGATAGCTGAGTACGCTCCTGTTTCGATACAACTCTCCGCCTGGTACGGTGTCGAAACCGACGCCAAAGTCATCCCAAGTTATTCCTTCGAAGAAGATGCAGTGTTCTTCATCGTGCTGTCGGATAGCTTTACTCAGAACTTCGTAGACGGGAGCTAAGTTCATTTTATCTGCTACTTTTGGAACAATAAGCAGCGGATTTGCGTAGATGTCCCCGGCCCAGGGCTCATTGATAAGCTCGTAGCCAATAACATTGGAGAAACTTTTAAACTCCGCGGCAGTTTTAGCCCAGAAGGCCGCCCAGCTATCCAACAAACCATCGGTATTGTTATACAAATTTTGGAAAGCAACACTGGTAGCTTCGGTCAAATAGTAATCTGACCACACAAACTTTGCGCAATCCTTATCAGACGGCATTCCCGTCTTCGGGTCTGGAACAAAAGGCTCATGAAGCGGTTCAGGGAATCCTTTGGCG